CAAGATCATTGAGTTTCCTTAACACAGTTCTTTTAAGCCAGGTGTGGTGGCATGTAATCTTAGCACTCTGGAGGCTAAGGCAGGAACCTCACTAGTTCGAACTTAGCAAGACTCTCTGAAAGTAAAAACATTTAAAGGGGATTCCAAATGAAGTCCCTGGGTTCAGTCACCAGCAGTGTAAAACAAAACAAAACCAAAAGTCAGCTGTTTTAAATTTTGTATCTGTTCTTCCATACATATACAATCTTTTAAGTTTCAGATAACTTATGAGATGACCTTGTGGTATGCTCATATCTATTGAAATTTATTAGCGTGCAACATCATTAGGAATGTGGGCATTGAAAAAGTACATATTTGTGCTATCTGGTTTTATTTGTACCAGTCATTCCATAAACTCTAATTTGGCTGCTTATTTTCTCTGAGCCTATATTCACTTTCATAGTTTCAGCACTGGATGTCACCATGCTCAAATTTGCCTTAGATGTGCTATTGGTGTGTTACCACTATTTCAGTACTAGCAAGCAATCCGAACCCAGTTTTGTCCCAAATACACTCTTGTGTCATTCAGAAAGAGCCAGGGGAGTACCTAGAAGGTTTTGCTGAGAAATCTGATGTCAGATGAATTAGGCTATCCCTATGCATCATTTATTTTTTTGTTTTGTTATTTTACAACCTTAGAATATTTACATGTTTCACTGTAGAGAACTTGATTATAACATGTAATCAGCATCTCGTTGGGGCCAAAGTAGACCCAAGTTTCTTGTTGATGTTTATTGGCCTGTGGCCAAGCCCTGCAGAATTTCCGCAGTTCTGGAAATAGTCCCTGTAAAAGTATCAGCTACAAGATTATAGGTCACTGCTGTCACCACCGATGCCACTAAGCTGTGTCATACCCAGAGACTACAGCCCACCAACACCAGCATTATAGCGTTATACTAGAGTAGCTACAAGGCCCACTCTGCTATGGGCTGCCTATTACTAAAACAATTTGCCGAAGAGGTCTTTATTGCCCAAGACCTCTGCAACTAACCAGTGGTGATGCTAGCTAGAATAGAAGTCCAATAGACTGGGGTCAGGTGTGTTCCCCTGGTACTCAATATATCAGAGCCTCCATCTGTCAAATTACCTGGGGATGTAGGGGCATTAGAATCTGCTCAGTATTGGGTTTTACCAGCCCAGCATTAAATTGCAGGGCAGAATCTTGGGCTACCTACCTTGTCCTACTCTGAGCAAATGGGATCTTGCATCAATCTATACTACCTCAAGTTGGAATGGTGTTGATGAAAGTAGTCCCTCCCTTGGTGAGCTAGACTGACCTTAAGCTGAGTTTCCCATAGGTATCATGGTTACAAGGAGCAACACAGTCCATGGTGCACTGAGGCCTCCAGTGATGCCAACAGTGATGCAGGCCACAACTAGGGTCTGCTTTACCCATGCACAAGACTCCACTTGATGCCAGCCCTAGGGTAGAGCCTCTGTCTATATGCTCTGGCCCATATATAGAGCCTCCAGTATCTAGCATGTGTAGGATCTCACTGTAGCAGGCCTGGTGCTAGGCTCTAAGACAAAGAACCATGCTAGCTTTCATACCCTGCTCATTAGCAGGTGGAATCTTGTTCCCCACCCTGCTGCCCAAGGTTTAAATAGACTTGGTATTCCCAATCAAAGACCCGGCCTGGTACAGTTCTTTGGGTACTGGACTGGCAGTAAGGACGGTGGGACCTCTACGGGGTTCCACCATAATGGGCCTCATAATGGGCTTCAAGTCCAAGACCTGGACTTAATTATCTCTCCCTCCACAAAGCAGGAGGAATCTTTCTTCACACTTGACTACTTGCAGTTGGGCATAGGGTAACACAGGTGATTCTTTCTTTCCTGCCCTCTTCAATAAGTACTATTTCTCTTTTATACTAAAAGCACACTATGTGTTCTTTCACCTGATTGCCTTAGCTCTTGTGAAGCTAGATTTAGTGGTGATTGTCTTTACAGGCTATCTCGAGCCTTTTGTTGTAATGATGGAAAATTGATTACCAGAAACATATAAATAGGCTTGTCCAGGTGTATATGGATGACTGTAAAATTTCTCTCCCTCTCTCTCTCTCTCTCTGAATTCCATGAGTAAGTATGATACAATGTTATTAAAGAATAAGTAACTGAAATGTATTAATTTGAAGCTAATGCACATTAAAATTTAGTAGTAAGCACCACTACTTTTAAGAATTTAAAGCAAGAAAATATTGTAGAGGGAAGAGTTTTATCATTAACATTATTTAGAATTGTTATTGCATGACAATAGTAACAACCAAATCTAATTTAAGTCCATTTTTATTTTTCTTTTAAAAACTATCCACAAATTATGCATCTCCTGTTGTAGCACAAAAGCAGTCAAAGACAATAAAGAAATGAGCATGGCTATATTCCAATAAAACTTTATTTATGGACATTAAATTTTTAATTTAATCCTGTATTTTTTAATTTATCCTATAATTTTTATATTACCAAATATTCTTTTTAAAATTTCTTTTCCAACCATTTAAAACTGTAAAGAAAGATTCTTAGGTTTCTCAAATATTTATATAGCATTATCATATGGCCCAGTAATTACTAACTATGTACCAAAAAGAATTTAAAAGAGATAAATATTTGTACATTAGTATTCATAGCAGCTCCATCCTCAAAGGACAAAGGTCCAGTAACAAATGGACAGGTAAACAAAATGTGATACCTACATTCAGTGAAATATTAACCAGGTATTAAAAGATAAGTCCATGGTTCATGGGCCCAAAAAAGTCATTACACTCTTATGTCTCAGCCACAAATTAAAGTGGCCAAATGACCTATTCTGTCACAGTGAGACTAAAGAAAGGATTGCTAAAGACACCCAGGAAACCCAGTCTGTCTCCTTTTGTGTGAAAAGATATGACTGTAATTCCACCAATCCTGGTAACCATGTTCCTCGTGAAATAAACCAGCATAACAATGAAGCTAACCTCCAGGAATGAGTCAGGGAGTATTGCTTCCCTTTCAATTTTATTAAAGAATTTGAGGAGTAGTAGCATAATGTCTTCTCTAAATTTCTTGTGAATTCAGCAGTGAATCTAACAGGACCTGGGTTTTTCTTTGTTGGTGAGTTTCTAATTACACTTTCAATTTTATTAACTGATGCTGGGTTATTTAGAACTTTTATATCTTCTTGTTTCAACTTTGGTAATTTATATGTATCTAGGAATCTGACCATTTCTTCTATGTTTTCCATCCTGTTAAAAGATTCTTGAGGTAGGTGTTGATCTTCTGAATTTCCACTGGATCCATAGTGATTTCACCCTTTTCTTTCCTAATTTCATGAATTTGAATCTTTTCTTTCCCTTTTTTGATAAAATTTGCTAACGGTTTATCAACTTGATTTAATCTTTCAAAGCACCAACTCTTCAATTCATTGATTCTTTTTATTATTTTCTTAGGCTCAATTGCACTAACTCGTGCTTTGATATTTATAATTTCCTCCCTTGCATGGGCTTTGTGACTAACTTGCTTTTTTTTTTTTCTAGACGTTTGAGGTGCAACATTAGGCTATTTATTTGAGCTCATTCTGTTTTCCTGATGTGAAATACACATGGAAAATAAATATATGAAAAAATATTCAGCATCACCAATCATTTGAAAGATGCAAATTAAAACAACACTCCTATTCACTGAGTCCAGAAAGTATGGCTATTTTCAAAAACTCAGCTAATAATAAATGCTGGTAGGGCTGTGGGGATAAGGGAACACTTCTCCACTGTTGGTGGGAGTGTAGACTACTGCAACCACTGTGGAAATCAGTGTGCAGATTCCTCAGAAAAAAATAGGAATAGAGATTCCATTTGACCCAGCTATTCTCCTCCTTGGTATTTTTCCAAAAGAATTAAAGCATATCACAGCAATTAATTTGCCCCCATGTTTGTAGTGGCACAGTTCGTAATAGATAAGTCCTGGAAACAACTTAAATGCCCATCAACCAATGAATGGATATAATAGATGTGGTTTTTTTATATAATGGAGTACTACTGTGCCATAAAGGATAAACTTGTATTGCTAAATGGATGGACCTTGAGACCATGCTCTTAAGTGAGATAAATCAGACACATATGTGTAAATATCAAATTGCCTCACTGGTATGAGAAACTGAAAGTATAAATAAGAACCAAATTGCACAAGAGATATGGTGAAATAGGATGAAATTGCTCAAAAAGAAAGGGGAACTAAGGAATGGGGACGACTAAGGAATGGGGATGACTAAGGAATGGGGACGGGGAAAGGAAGAATAAATGAGAAAATAAGGATAAAATGGAACTATAGCTTTGTACATAAGGGGGGAAGAAGGGTTAAAGGGAGGTGAGGGGAATGGGAGGGCATAAAGACAAATCAAGGTACATTATGCACAGGTGCAAATTCCCTATGATGTATGTGATCATTGTGTATAACTAAATTGTACCAATAAACTTAATCAAATTTAAAAATAGTTAATAACATAAGACACAAAAAAGAATGAAGCTAACCACTCAGTCAAAGTTAACATAAAGATGGAAAAAAATTTTGACGGTCATAGTTGAACTTCCAGGACAAATCTGAAATTTATCCTAAGATCTTTCAATTATGGGAGGTCATCAATTATACTCTGTTAGGCACAACTGCATTGAGTTTTCTGTCACTTAAAATATAGTAAACTTTAATAAACAAACATGGGTTCTCTCTTTTATCATTTGTCTTCCCCAAATTCACTCTATCTTTCATTCTTATCCCCCCAAATACACAAATTATTTCCACCACCTGCCAAAAAGCAAATAAAATTGAGCACAAACAAAATGATAGTATGGAAAGAGACAGGAAGTAGAGTGGCCACAGTAAGAATATTCAGTAATGTGGTAAAGGTTTCTAGAATATTTTTTTTAGCTGAAATCACCACACATTTCCTTGAATATCACAGGGCAAAATAACAGCCAAGAATAATTATTTTGGAGATGGGCGACTTGGACTCAAATCCTAGCTTCATTACTTATGAAACTTCTTTGTACCTCAATTTCTTCACTGTGAAGTGGGTCTAATTGAGGGTTCCTTCCACAAAACATGCTTGTGAGTATTAAATAATCTACCATATGTAAAGCTATTTTTGAAGTACCTGTCACATAGCATTTTGTAAAAGTTTGCAATTATTATATTTCTTTTGTTATAAATATCCCCATATGGCCTCATCTAATGCAGCTGCTCTCTTTATCACAGAAGCCAAAGACAATTTACAATTGTTTTCTCTCACTTTTCAAACTGTTTTTATAAGGAAAATGAAGTTAATTTAAATATCAACAGTAATTTATTGAGAGGAAAGAAAGATATGGGTTATATATTCCAGTATAACCTTAATTCATCTCCATTTAGAAGAGAGTTTACTTAACCATTTGCTGGAGGTATGATTTTTCTCCTCTTCTGCCATTTTGTCTCCTGGCTATCAGTAGGATCCTTTGTATTGAACGTACAAAATATCTACATCAGCCTGCATGAGTAACAAGGAAATATATTGGCTAAAGCTCCTCTGAAGTCTCGAGAGATTATGTCTCCACTCACAATGTTCTCTTCCTGGTGTCATCCTCTAGGTATCAGTCTCACTTGCAAAGTAAGTATGATACGTCATTCAGTTATGTATTTGGGGTCACTATTCATTTAATGTGTGCACTGACAACTATAAATTTCTCCGAGACTGTTTTCATTGTGTCCCAAAGGTTTTGTTGTGTTGTCCTTCTGTTGTCATTTGATTCTAGGAATTGTTTAATTTGTTCCCTGGTTTCTCCTGTGATCCATTGTTTATTCCATAACAATATTTAATTGTTTGCATAGTTCCTGCACGGCTGATTTCTAGTTTCATTCAGTTATCATTTCATACTGTAGAGAGAATTATTTCAATTCTTTTGTATTTACTTAAGCATGCTTACTGGCCTAAACTGTGGTTTTTTTTTTTTTTTTTTAAGTTCTGTGCATTATGAAAAAAATGTGCATTGTGGTTGTTGTTGGATGATGCAGTCTGTAGATATCTTTTAAGTCTTTTTGTTCAATGGTATTGTCTAACTCTGATATTTCTTTGTTGATTTTTGTTTGTTTGGCCTATGTATTTATGAGTGGGATATTCAAGTCCCATGCTATGATTTTATTGATGACTGTCTGTCTTTTTATGTCCAGTATCTTTTTCTTCTATGAAATTGCGAGCAGCAATATTAGGTACACATATATTTACAATTGTTATCTCCTTCTGTTGAGTTATTTCCTTTAACAGTGTGCAGTGTCCAACTTTTTCTCTTCTGATAAGATTTAGCTGGAAGTCTGCAATGCTTACAAATAACTATTCAAGGCTGCAATTTGCTTCAGTTGTCTGCAGTGTCATTTTCCATCTTTTCTCTTTGAGTTTGTGTGCTTCCTTTTGATGAGGTGTGTCTCTTGCAGGCAACACATAGTTGAATTATGTTTTCTGACCAATCTGCTAATCTGCATCTTTTGTTTGGACAGTTAAGACCATTGACATTCAAACTTATTATTTAGGACATTTATTAAATCTTGTCTTTTATATTATTTTTTCATGATTATTGCTTTATTTTATTTTCAGGGCTTTTTTATTAATATCTCTCACTATTAAATGAATACTTAGGGATCTTTGGTGCTGCTGACCTCCCTATCTCTGTTTAGGATTTCTTTAAATATTTTATGCAATGCAGGTTTAGTGGTTATGTATTTTTAGGTCATCCTTGTCATGAAAAGTCTTTACTTCTTGATCAGTTTTTAAAACTAGATGTGCAGGGCATAAAAGTCTGTTTGACAATTGCTTTATTTTAGACTTTGAAAAACCTTGCTCTAAACACTTCTGGTCTTGAAGTTTGTGCTGAGAAGTCCCCTATTATTATGGTAGCCTTTCTTTTACAGGTTACAGTATATGATATTTTTCCCTATCAACTTTTAGTATTCTCTCCTTTGGTTGAATATCTGGAGTTTTGATTATGATGTTTCATGGAGATATTCTATGGGTCTCTTGTACTTAACAGTGAATTCTTTCCCTAAACTTCAGAAATTTTTTGCTATGATTTCAGTGAATCAATTTTTTATGGCTTCTGAGTCATTTTTTAAATTTGTTCTTTATGCCTATAATTCTGAGGGGGTTTTTTGAGTTATCTAACAGCTGTTAGATCCAGCTTCCATTATTTCTTATTTGGAGAGTTCACTGAGCACGTGACTTGCTACATCCACCTTGTCTTCAAGTCCTGAGACCTTCTTTACCTTAGCCAAATCTGTTATTCAGTCTGATCCCTCCTGTCTTTCCTCTTGGACTGGGTCAGTCAATAGTATGTTATCTGCTCCCAGACTATATTTACTCCAGGAGCTTTTACTGTTGATATCCTGCTGAGAACCCAGAACAAAACTATCCCCCATTAGCTTTGCAGCCTGTGGGTTTGAGTGCCCGTACCTTCTCACCATATTCCATAGGCCCCTCAATCCATCCTCCTAGGAAATGGCAAATGTTCAGGCTAAGGCATATCACTGATCCCACTGGCAAAGCAAACAGAACACTGAACTCTTTCCTGAAAGTGGGAGCAAAGGGGGCAAAGCAGTCCACTGGACTAAATTCTAGCAATTTCAGATCCAGTTCCCACAGAAAACCATGTGCAACCAGCCTGGTTTTTCACCACAGATGGAAAGAACCATGTCTTCTGCAGCCTGAGCTTGTGACTGCTTAAACTCCTCAGGAGGTCTGTGACTAGCCCTTTCTACTGCTGTTACCATCTCCTGTGGCCATTTCCTATCTAGTTGCTATGGGAAGAAGACCCTAGAGACCCTGAAGTGTAATTGTTCTGTGATTGCTTATTCCTGGAGCAGCTCAGTCTTAAAAAAATAAATCTCTCAAAATGGCTCTGATTATCAGTCCAAAATACAAAACTGCTCAATAAGAAAGAACAACTGGGATGAGGGACAGGAGAAAACAAGAAGGAAAGTGGAAAAATATATGTATATATACACAGGATAGCTAAGATAATTGCACGACTAATTTCTACTGGTTTATTGAAAGGAACAGTTAATGTTTAATGGTTTGATCAACCTTGCATACCTAGATCTGGTAATCTGAGCAACTACTCTGAAGATAAAAATAAGTAATACAACAACCATTGTTGATTTCCTATCATCTTGTTTTGAAATTCTGTATCATATTTATAATTTTTGTATAGTTTTGTTTTTGTTATTTTATTTTTGTTCTTTTCTCTTTAAAATTAAAAAAAAAAATCAGCATGTGTTTAGGTTCATTTCTTCTTCAGGACTAGCCTGCCAAGTGGAAGGATTCACTTTCAGAGTAAAATTCTACACTATGTTTGCAGTTTACAATGAAGATGGCCTTTTCTTGGGACTGGTGGTACAGGTCCACTGTTTCTCACTGGGGCTGCTGACCCACCCCCTCCAGGCTTGCCTCCGTTTGCAGAGACAAATCCCTCTCCCCAACATTTGGGGATAGGGTTCCAGAATGCTTCATTATTTTCTCTAGATTGTCTTCAGTTTCTCTGTAATTTCTAACTTTCTTGATTTCCAGAACTTTTCTTCTCTTTCTCTTTGCCAAGTTGTTGTCTTCCAGGTCTCTCAGCTCCTACTCCTGTAAAGGCTATAATTTGCTCCCAGCTTTTACTCTGCTGTTTTCCTTTTGTCCTGCACTATTCAGTCTTGTTATAACAAGCACATGTTGAACACTGCATTAAACATATTTTAAGTCTGAGAATACATATTTTAAGCACTTTTGGAACATATATAAAGCCTGAATATCTAGTAGATCACAAAGCAACTCATCAAATACCAAACAAATCAGTACAGATGAAAAGGAAGAGTTTATAAACAACTCTAAGTTACTATATAAAATGGCATCACCTGAAGGGAAATTATTTAATAAAATTAGATGAATTGAAAATGAATAGGTTTATATTTATTAAATACAGTGTTACCTCAATTCATGAACACTTTCGTTTGTGAATAATTTGCTTCACATGCAGAAGTGTTTTGCAAAATTTTGTTTTTGTTTGTAAACTCTACATTGGGTCATGAACACATCAATGGGCATCTTTTTCCATGAACATGAGTGTGGCCTTTTTCCCCAGAATCATGGAATGAATTAAGTTCATGAACAGAGGTACCACTATAAGTTAGTAGCTAAAAATCTTCTTTTCCAAAGGAATCTTCCACAGATAGAGAGTTTTCTGGATAACTCCACTGAATAGACAAGTAATACGTAATTCAGATCTTATATCAGTGGCTCAAAGTATAGGAGAAAAAGAGCTCTGTTTTATTAGATGATGTAAACTAGATAGTCAACATAAAGACATACCTAAAAGAAAAATTTTAGATCTACTTTATTGATAATATCCTAAAAATACTAAAGAAAATATTTAACTTGGTCTAGCCATGTTGCAAGGATTCTGTCAAGCATATACAACAAGACAAGCCTTACATGTATGCCTGACTATTAGGGCCAGTAAGTATGTTCAAAGATGCTTTACATTTCTGGAAATTTTCTTGTTAGCCCATGAAAGGAAGAAGAGCCAGAGGTTCTTATCCCACATCAAAAGCAGCAGTATCAAACAAAAGGCCAATGGAGCACAGTGTATATTTTGGGATACCAATAACTAAAACTGCAGCTACATTTTTAAAATTATATTCTGCATCTCAATTCCGAGAATAGTAAGATAGGAAACCTCATGTGTAACATAAGCCAGAAATAAACAGAAACTGTCCCATGATAGCCTTTCAGAAGAGACGGGAATGGGAGACAGCCTTGAGGGGCTGCTCCTCAGCCTCCCATTGTCTTTTGCTCAGAGGCTCCTTAAGCATCCTTCCAAGGCACAGGTACACCGTGTTCCCACCCTTGGCCTACACCAACACATAAAAGGCACCAGGAGGCCATATGGAAATATACATTCATCATGAAAAAGCATTTACTTAGGTACACATGAAAATCTACTATTATAAAAGTTTTTCATGTAATTATCAACACATTTTTAAATATAAAACTGTGTTAACATCATCTCTGGAGAAAAATAAAATATATAAAGATATTCAATAGCTACTCCAGGAGGTATAAAGCATTAGCAATAGAAAGAAACTTCCTTAATCTAGTAAAATATTCTCCTAAACCTTACATCATACTTAATGGTGAAACATCTGAAGCATTTCTTTAAAAGATAGCAATACTGGCAGCTTTATTCAACATCATATGGAAGAAGACTCTAGCCAGTTTAATGAGATTACATAAAGAAAGAAAAGAATAACAATTGAAAAAAAACTAAGCTAATTCATCATTTGCTGATCATATTTGTTCATTATAGTGAATATCCTAAATATCTTTTTAAAAGTATTAAGATTATTATGTGCTAAATATTAGCAGTGAGCACAAAGGACTCCACTGTGTAAAATTTTTTGTATTTCATGTTTGGAATAATTTGTAATTTAAAAGGACATTTAAGAAAAATGCTTGGGTCTTGATGAAGTAAAGGATAACCTGCAGAGTCACCTCTTTAACTATTTTAAATACAATTTAGGGAAAGAAATAAGCCTTGATCACAATTCTTTAAATGTATAGCAAGTAATGGCAATAGGACCGATTAAAATAACACAAACTATAGATTTTTAAAAAAAAAAAAAAAAAGAATGTCTAAAGAAATAGCCACAGGACAGAGAAAGTCTGGAACCAAGCTGTCCACATCTGAAAGTGTGGCCTAGCTGGCTTCCACACATGAAAAGCAAGATTTTGCAAGATCCAAAATATATTGTCATTTTTCTCATGGAATACAAAAACATGCAAAAATTAAAAAAAAAAAAGGCTAAGCTTCTTACAAAGCTTTTGGGTAATCATAATTAAAGTGTATGTTGAGTATGCCTTATCTGAAATGTTTGGAATCAGAAATGTTAAAGATTTAAGAGCTAGGAGAATTTTGGAATATTTGCATGTGCATAATGAAATATATGTATCATGGTACCAAAGCTTAAACATGAAATTTGTTTCATAAACACCCACACCCATACCTTGAGATAATTTTATACAATGTTTTTATTTTATTCACAAAACAACATCACAGGCTGGGAGGGCCCTTTTCCCTTGAGGACACTGCATAAACTATTGTATACTACTACATTGTTTACTACAATGAGAAACTACATTTCTCATTGTGCATGCTTTTTGCCTGTGACTTCAGTCATCTGAGGTCAGGAGTGGAATTTTTCACTTGCAGTATCACACTGGAACTCAACCTTTCTAATTCTGAATTTTGGTTTTTTGGATGAAGGATGCCCAACCTACATGAAGGAAAAGGATCATTTTTTATTGGGCTAATTACTTTTTTCCTGTAGTACTTATAGATAAACTTAAATATGCACTAATACAGGAAATGTTCTACCACTATTTCGCAGTGTCACTCTTTTCTGGAGCTCTGGTTCTTATCACGATATGCCCACCCTCAACCCCATACATCAGATCCAGAGGAGGAGGCTGGGACTTCCCATGTCCACAGCCCCGCATCTCTCCATAGTCCCTGAAGAGCACCTCTCGAGTGATGGAATCCCAAAGGAAAAGGAAATCCACCTCCAGTTTGAGGGAAGGTCAAACCCTCATGTCTGAAACATTAAATTATCAAATTATTGTTGGGAGTAGTGTGCCCTTCTTTTGTTTAGAACTGGAAATGATTATCAGAACAGGGTAGTGAGCACAGTGAGTGATGCTAAAGCCACATTTTACACGACTTGGTTTGCTGACAATGTTTGTAGTAGTCAGATTTAATTTTAGTGACACTATGAAATGCAGTGTGCTGTGCATAAAATATTAATGCAGTGCATAATTGGGCAGTCCAAAATAACCAAGTCTATGCCAACTGATAAATACTTAGTGAAATGTTCTGTCATTTATAGACTTTCCCCACCCCTACAAAGTAAATTATATTATCTATTCCAATTCCAACCTGCTTTTACTTCGTCTGATATTTCTCTTCTGGTGGTAGGCATTAGAAAGGCCTCAAGCTGTTTATAAGGAAAAATCCTTTTCTTTGGATAATGAGAAAGTGGATCTTGTAATATAGAATCAGGCAAATTAATGTACTCTATGAAAATAAAACAAACAGGCTTTCCTATATTTTTTTATCCATAGGTCAGCTAAGGAGCCTGCTCTTAAAGTATACACTCATCGCCTGATCAGTGTGGATTTATCACTGGCCTGGAAATGTACACTGAGAATTTCCAATTTTGCTCATAAATAACTACTTTATGGAGACTACTTTATGGAAAGGATTGACCATAAATATCACAGCAGTAATGAGAAATTTTGAGTGAGCAAGTAAATTTTTCAATTCTTTTCTCATTCTCTAGTCTGACTAATTCTAGAAGATTTTCAGAACATGCAAATAAGCTGAGAAAGTAAGATATTCAGGATATTACAATCTGACCTTCATACTTTCCAATATTTTTAATAAGGATATTCCTCTTCTTGTAGGGATGAAATGTTCTCATTTATTCCTGGTTTTAATTTCTTATTGTTTATCTTTGTTTCTGGGTAGTTGTGGTATGTTGTTTTGTTTTGTTCATTCTGTTTTCCCTGCTATCTGCCTCACACATATTTGACAACATCCTGCTTGCTTCCATTTGAGAAATCACATCTAAAAATATTTCCCTGTCCAGTCTGCTTCTTCAGAGCATGTAGGGAAATATGGAAGTCATGGGGGCATGATACCCTTTTGGACAAGTGCCTGTTAATACTTAATAGTGTTTTGTAAGAAAAATTAGAAAAAGGACCAGGTTTCCAGTAGATACCACTGTGTCTGTGGTACCTTTAGAACTAGTGTCATTCCCTATAAATCAGAAGATTGTATGAGTTCTCACCAGCAATATACAGTATTGGATAAGAGTGGCATGAGGACCTCCCAAAATATTTTATTTTACCCTTGAGTCTTCCAAAAAGATATCTTCACTACACCAGTCAACCTCACAAACATCAGCAGCCAATTCCCATTTCACAGCTGAGATCCCTATTCTAAACTTAGAAACACAAATCTCCCTCAGTTTCCTGTCTCTCCCCTACTTACTGACTCACTAAAATATACGCCTTTCCAGCTCCCACTCCCTGTCTCTATGTAAACGCTGTGACTTTTTCCCTGCAGTTGAGTATGTGCTTAACATTCTCCCTGGACTCCAGGCCCTTCCACTTCTTCCAACTTGTCCAGGCCCTTCCACTTCTTCCAGCCCTTTTTTCATTGATTCTCCCTTGTAAGCATTTTAAATATTTCCCATCAGAAAGTAAAGATCATCCAGTTTTTCCCTTCTTTGTCAAAACATATCAGCTCTGTCCACATTCATTTTCTCCACTTCACAATCATATTTCCCAGAAGAGAGGTCAACATTCACCTGGGCGTACCATTCAACTCACTATGAACAGGCATTCTCACTGTCACTCCTCTGAGGTTCCAGCCAAGTCGTTGACCAAAAATGGTCACAATGCTAATACTAAGGGTCACAATGCTAAATGTGATGATTTTGTTTTTTTCTTTGGTCTATTCCTTTGTATTTCTTTGTCTACTTGTGGTTTTTACATATCCTTATGGTGATACTCTTCTGTTTCCTGCATGGAAAGCACCTAGAAATTAAGGGCCCCTGAAGCTTCCTTTCCACCACTCTTCTTTGTCTCACTCTTCTTGGGGGACCTGTTCCACAACTCTAAAGTCATTTATATTTCGGACATACTAATGACTAACAAAATTTGCTTGGTATCCTGGAATGCTCTCCTGAGTACCTAACTTCCAACTACCATCAAACATCTTCTGGGTTCTGACACATATTTTTATCCTCAATGCATTTAAATAAACTTTTTTCTCCTTACTTTATTCCCCTACCCTGCTGGGGATTTTTAGGTTGCTTGTTTTATTTTTATTTTTTTTATTTATTTTTTTTTTTTTAGTTTTTTATTTTGTTTTTTTGTCTTTTTTTGAGACAAAGTCCCACTATGTAATTTAGATTGCACAAGAACTCACTATGAAGCCCAGGCTGGCTTTGAATTCACAGTGATACCTACCTCAGCCTCCTGCATACTGGGATTATAGACATGTGCCAGCACATCTGGCCAGCCTCCTATTTTAATTATCTAGTCCACAGTGGGAACATAACTATCTGTACAAATGCTCATGCTAGTCCTCCGAGAGCCATTTTTACTCATCCTATTCATAGATCAAGTCAATCTCTAGATCCTAGTCATATACAGGCCCTGTCTACATAAGCATATGGTGGTACTTTGCTATATTGTAAATCTGCTGACTTTTTCTGAATTATCTTTGTGTTCTTCAGGTCACCACCATTGTTTGATTGGGTTACCATGAACCAGCATTTCTCTTCTGACTTCCACTTCCTCCCAAACCTTCTGGTGAAGTCCAGCTCCTGCCCGTTCTTGGAAATGGAATTTTTTATATAGCCCTTACCATTAATTCACATACTGTGTATGGCTGCTTTTGTGCTACAGTAACAGTAACTAGGCAGCGTATTTAAAACATCAACCATATAGCTGAAAAGCTGAAAATATTTACCATCTGGTTCATTACAGTAAAAATAATTTGTCACACTCAGCTCTTCAGTATTCTCTGAACTTTCCAAAATAGAAATAATTCACTCTTCTGCCCCAACTTAGTCCCCAGTACTTAGATAACAAACTTTGCACTTCTTAGCACTCTAACCCTGACTTACACATCCCTTTCCAGGCTCATCTCTCACCACCTCCCTCTGAACTCCTTGAATGTACTTAGAATATAGCTGTACTTAGAATATAGCTCATTTGATGGCTCACAGACCAGTGTAAGGCACTCTTCACCTTTGAAGTCAAGCCTCATCTTTCTCCCCTTTACCTAACTACCACTTACTTTAAGATTGAAATTACATGTCACTTTCTTAAGGAAACTATCCCTAATCACAACATTTTAATCAATTGTCCTTTTCCCTAACACTATAACTCCTTGTTCTTCCCTCTCAGATCTCACTCTGTACTAATTACCTTGACTTCCTTGTCTTTGCCCTTAACATAAAGTTCTCACAGACAGGAACTATAACTTGTTCACCATGTGTCTATAGCAACTATCACAATATCTGGCAGGTAGATTGTGCTTAAGAAATCCTTGATAACTGAATAAATGTATCAGTGGTATTTGTCATCAGTGAGCTCCTCTTCAACTATTAACTGGAAGTAAGAATATATAATCTATAAACTTATTGGATAATTAAGGAAAGTATTGTATACAAGACCCCAGTACATGCTTATCATTATTTAGTAACTAATAAAGGTAAGTCTGCTATGCACATCTCCCATAAATAGGTCAAAGTTCTAACCTACCCAGTTCATAAAGGACTTGTGGACCAGGAATAAAATTTAGTGTATACAGACTTTGGTTTGAAGAAACTTACAAACTTATAAAGGTAAGGAAAGAAGTCACTATAAACAAAGTACAATAGGTATGATGTTCTGAGACACACAAATAAAAAGACTACCCAGTCAGGTAGCTTATTTTACATAACAAATTATAACTGATCCATCATTTTGTTAATTTGTTAGAAAAGTGCGAATATGCAATCTTCTACATTTATGACAGTAAAAATAACAAATGGTTAATACAAAGTAAATTTTTTAATGGTTGTAAAGTTTTGTTAATGGCAGAAAAAAACCCAGCAAGTTTGGGCCAGGTAAAAATAAGAAAAGCCATGCATCCTACCATCTAAAAGTGGGTCACCAATGTAAGAGAGGACACAGTGGCTAGTAAAGTTAATTTATGAATCGAAGTGGCAGTTTTAAGAATAAGCAAAAGAACTATGGGGAAAGCTTCTCACAAGTATATTACTTCATCTGAAATTACAGGAAGTAAAAATTATAATGGCCTTAAACTGTCTTTCCAAAGGTCATGAACAGTTCACCAATAAAGAAATGCCAATGATTTGTCACTGAAAAGAAATTTAGAACTTATGGGTGGAGAATTGTGTTAAATGAAACATTTGCAGCTCCAAGAAACATAAATACTACCTCAAAATAGGTTAAACCATAAGAATTATGGGATCATACTCACTAAATCTAAGTGAAAAGAAATAGCTTCTTCCTGAGCTTTTACTTTTATTTTTTGAGACCATCGTATTTGTACACTGTTAAAGGTTACATTATGGTAATTTGATGCATGCACACAATGTGTAAAATGTAATCAGGATAAGAAGGATTCCTATCTTTTAAAATATTATATTTGTGTGCTGGCAGTTCTATACTGTTCTTTTCTTGTCATTTTGTACAACACATGGTTTTAGTCAATAGTTACCCTATTGTGCTACAGAAAAAGAGAACAAACTCCTCCTCTCTGTGTTAGTAGCTATTATTTGACTTCCTTCTAGTCTCCTTCCCTCCTGCCATTCCCCATATCTGTGACCATTATTCTACTTCATGCTGCTATGAGATTAACTTTTCAGCTTCTAAGTAAGAATATATAATATTTATCTGTGTCTGACTTATCTGATAGTTCATGCTATGATCTCCAGTTACACCCATGTGGTCAAGATTCACAAAGGAAAAGATATAATACAGGATGCATAATTTATAGGATTATTTTATAATATTTATGCAAACAGTCAAATGCAAAAAAGTGCAGGAGGTCTAGCCATACACTAGAGACACAAAGCATTCAAATGAGGGCCTGGGTCCCATGGCAGTGTCCTGCATGAGCTCAACTGAAGACTGAGGCCCATGACAGTGACCTCCATGAATCCAACTGGAGGTCTAGAGCTCACAACAATGTCTCACGCAAGTCTGTACCAAAGATTTGTGCTGGGAAAGCCCAAAGGTCAGTGGTGGAAGTTAGAATGTCTGCACCAGCTGGATGAAGGTTTTGTGCCACCAGGCTGAGAGATCTCTAATGGACCCAAGAAGTGATGCTCAGAGTAAGGACCAAAGCTCCCCCTAAAAAAATTGCAGCCATCCTCAGCAAGGTCCCAATCTCCTCTGATGATAAGAACAACTGAGTTCATATCACGAAAGCCAGCACAACAACGTTCTCCAGGAGAATCAACAGCACATCTTCCCCTCTAGTTCTCTTTTCATGCTGTTGGCACCAATGCTCAAGTAGGCATTCCACACTCAACACCACCCTGATTCAGTTCAGTTAAGTGTTACAAGTTGACCATATGTTAATCTTCCACAGTCCACCCCTGGTCAATTTGATAACCAGACACATTTCCTTAACCATAGTCTCCAGTGGCAGATTTGTGAAAGTTAACATGTCTTGGTCTATTTAATTCATATTAATACCCCAATGCAGAAAGGAGATCCTGACCCAGAAGACCCACAAACTGCTAACACCAGGGTTCACATCTGGGCCCTCCCTGCATGTGCCCTGTGCTGCCTGAGGTACTAGAGCAGGCAGTCCATGAACTATTGGCACTGTGGTCCACCTCTGGGCTTTACTTGAGCCCTGACCTCCTGGAGGTCACAGACATGGGCAGTCCATGATCACCACCAGTGCAACCTGCATCTGGCTTCTATGCACACCCTGAGTTACCCAGAGATGCAGAATCAGGAGGTCTGTGATCCACTGACACCACAGTTCACACCTGAATGCACAGAGAACCAGGTATTCCCCATCTACTTCCTGGAGGCAGAGCAGGCAAGTCTCTGCCCTCCATGCACCCAGTGCAGAGAGGAGATCCTGACCTAGAAGGCCCAAGAACTGCTAACACTGAGGTTCGTGTCTGGGTCCTCCCTTCATGTGCCCTGCACCACCTGAGGTGCTAGAGCAGGTGGTCCACAAACTGCTGGCACCATGGTTCGCATCTGGGCTTTACTTGTGCCCTGACCTCCTGGAGGTCACAGACATGGGCAGTCCATGATCATCGCCAGTGCAGGCTGCTTCTGGTTCCTGTGCACACCCTGAGCTGCCTAGAGACATGGAATCAGGTGGGCCATGAACTGTTGACCCTGCTATTCATGTCTGGGTTCTGCCCGAGCCCTGAACTGCCTGGGGACAAAGGACCACTGGTCTGTGATTGTGCCACCAGTACAACCTGCTTCTGGGTCATACTCATGCCCTGAGCTGTCAGGGGACACTGGATCAGATGGTTTACCATTGGCTGACATCACGGTTCGTGTCTGAGACCTGGGAGAATGAGGTACACTTTACCATCTGCCAGAAGACCCCACACTAAGCAGCACATCTCAGTGGTCACTGAAGAGTAAGCCTGACCACCAGGAAAACTAGGGACACTAGTGACCTTGGCTGAGCTGCCAGGGAAGAGGGAGACAGAGCATTCTGCCTCCAGCATCAAACATGACAAGAAGAAAGACTAAAATGCAATCTCAGAACTCCACCCCACTCAGAACAAGTCCAGGAGACATTGACATAGGAGAACTTGGTAAACACACACCTGAAATTGCTGAAATGATTGCAATGGAAGTGAAGAAACAATTCCATCAGGCCATACAAGAGATCAGATCAGAAATAATCTCTCAGGCAAGAAATGAAATGACAACAATAATGAAATATAAAAAAATAGGTGAACATAGGCAACAGATGGAAACATTAAATGGACAATATACGAATGAACTACAACACATGAAACAGATTCAAAGAGACATCTAGGAAACCAAAACTTCCACTCAAAGCTGGAAAACTGCTTAAATGAAGCTGAAGATAGAATTTCAGACCTTGAAGACAGCATGGCAGCTAGTATTCTGAAAGAAAAGATCTCTTAAAAGCAAAAAGGAACCAAGAAATGTAAATTCAACAGCTGCAAGAAGAGGCAAAGAGGAATAATGTAAGACTAATAGGAGTCAATGAAACAGCAGAAGGCAACATAAATGACATGAAAAGAATAGTTGCAGAAATAATAGTAGAAAATTTCCCAAACATGGAAACAGAATCTGACATACAGGTAATGAGGCATATAGAACTCCAACTAGTCATAATCAAAATAAATCTACACCCAGACATATAATAATCAAGATCCCAGATCTCCAGCAAAAGAACAGAATATTAAAAGCTGCTAGAGAAAAGAAACAGATCACCTATAAAGGAAAGTCCATCAGAATCATGGCAGACTTCTCAACACAAACCGTCCAGTTAAGAAGAGCTTGGAGTGATGTATTACAGGTCCTGAGACAAAAGAGCTTCCAACTAAGACTGACATATACTGCCAAACTATCCTTCAAATTCGAATGAGAAATAAAATATTTCCACAACAAAGAACAAATGAAGAACTTCATGAGTGCCAAACTATCCTTACAAAGAATACTAAAAGATATTCTAGACTAGAAAAACATGATCACAATTTCAAGAACAACAATAGAAAGTAGCCCTCAAGCAGAATAAGCAATTAAACAGGTAGAAAAAGTAGTAAACCAACAACAAGTATATAATATGACAATGATAAACCAACACATACCAATTATAACCATAAATGTAAATGGCCTCAATTCACTTGTTGAAAGAAACAAAGTGGATTAAGAATCAAAATCCAATGATATTCTGTACACATTTAACACATTTTACTCAAAAAGAAATCCATAGACTGAAAGTCAAAGGATGGAAAACAATTCTCCATGCAACAG